CATGTACAAATAAAGGTTACTCACCTGAGTTGCCAATAGTCGTGACCTGGCCAATGACGTTGGGGGAGATGAACTGCTGGAGGTCGAGCAGGCCAACATTGTTGAGGAGACCGAGCTGGAGCTGCTGGAGCTGGAGGCTAGCGAGGTCAAAGCCGTTGAGGACACCGAGCTGGTGGATCTGGAGGAAGGTGTGGAGTTGCTGGAGCTGAAGAAGAGCCTGGAGGTCAAACGTCTGCTGGGCGAAGAGGCCCTGGAATTGCAAGACGTTGAAGTTGTTGACGTTGGCCAGGTTGCCGAGGAGACCAAGCTGCAGAGAGTTGATGTTGAGGAGGTAGTTCAGGTTGACCTGGTTGAAACCCTTGAAGCCGTTGACGGCGTTGAGATCGAAGCTAAAGGCACGCTTCTCAACATCGGTGGGGGTGGTGGAGGCGGCAGGGGCGGCGGCCACGAAGGCGGCGAGGGTAGAGACGATGACAGTGAAGAACTTCATTTTGACTGATGTTTGTTGTTGAGTGAACGACTTGCGAGCAGAGATTAAAGGATTATAAAGTTAAAGAGCACTGCTCAAAAATGTTCAAAGATTGAAGGACGAAGCGAACAGCGAGCACAGCTATGGTTGACCAGGTTAGCCTCGATAAGATGTTTCGTTTCGATAGTTGGTTTGGGGGCATACCTCTGAAGAATGAATGACTGGAAGAAGATGGCGAACGGGCCTTGGAAAGCTGGAGTTGTGAGTGGGATGAAGAAACAAAAGTCGGGAGGGAGAGGGAGATCAGGTCACCTTATATGGTGGCTGGAACCTGCCAAGGGCCAGAGGCAACGATGATGGCAAAAGATGGGAGCAGGAGGTGCGTGCCAAGGATTTCAGGGAGCTGCCATGATGTTCGGAAAGGAGAGCACGCACTCATCCGAAGCGTGTCAGGCGTCAGACGTCACTGGACGGAGGCGAATGGGTAAAACACCATGGACTGGGCAGGCTAGGATGTGCCGGGATGTGTTGACGATGTAGTGGCGGAACCAAAGAACCGAGAACGTCCAAACAACCCAGGCACACCAACAACAAAATCGCCGAGACGGGGATATGCCCTGCACAGGAGGGAGGGTAGTCGAGAAGACTCGGTACCTGCGGCAACGTCATGGCACGGAAAGCTCTGTGGCCGAGGCCATCTTGGACTGCTCTGCTGCCAAGGGAAACACCAAAGACTGGTTGGTGAAGCCTACTGGCCAGGCCCTCAGGAAGGACGCAGCAAGGTAGTATTCCGTGATCGAGGGACTGCTCCTCCAGCTCCTGAGTGGAGGTGGGGGTACCATGACAGGATACTCCTGGGTCGAGGCCATTTTGCGGGGAAGAGCAGGTACCATCTGATTTCAAGGAGGTTGCCGGAAAGACGCTCACTGGCCATATCTGATCACCGTCGAGGATGAGCAGCTCGTTTCGTAGCGTTTCGAGGAGCCATGTGCTTCTGGGAAAAGAATAAAGCCAAATTCGGGAACGGACGTTCCAACATGACAGTGCTCTTCCTGTATGCCGTTAGCTAGGCTCGGGGATTTTACCAAGCAGGCGAAAACATTGAGCTGCCTAGGCGAAATTCTTGTCTTGAGGCCTGGATAATTCGGGTTCACCAGAGCAACGGCACCGAATGGATGCGTGCCTTGACCTTCCCGTGGCTGTAAACGAGGTAATAGTCTATTACATGGTGATTAAGCTTAGTTGGACCCATGTCGTGGTGTTTCAACTGGAGGCTGGCAAGCCCCATGAGCCCCCGCAATTCCGGCACTTGTCTGGCGAAAAGTGGCTAAATAGCGGGTCTCCTGGGGCGGGAGAGGCTGAAAGGTCTGAAGCCGATTAGCGGGAAGCCCTTGTCATCGTTACAGTGCCTGGGAGGTGCCACCCACAGATCCAAGACCCCGCTCAAACAGCCAAGGGGGGTGATTGGAGCTGCTGATTGGCTGGTTTCGATTTGAGCCGTGCACCTGCAACGATGGGACTGAGCGCTCATGCAGAGAGACACACAGCAGCTGCCGCAGATGGAACAGTTTGAAGCAGTCGAATCCATGCCATTGCTCTTTTCATCACGGGGATGGCCTCGCTTAAACTCCTCTACCTGACTTGAATGCCTTGGCCGCCGGAACCGTGCGACTTCCGACTGAAGAAGGGGTCGGGACATCTCTGTGTCCTCCTCAGTCAACCAACCACCGACAGCACGCCATCTGAGGATTGCACGACGTCTTGCCATGGGCTCGATATTCCATTCGATGGCACACAAGTACAGTATGCAGGTACAATGCAGGTACACCATCATCTGAAGACAACGAAGCAGATCACGTCTCCCGAATTAGAACCACGAGATGTCCAGCCTTCAGATATGTTCCAGTGTGAGCAACAGATTCATCTCAATTACATTAACATGATCATCTAAGAGATACCAGAAAAGAAGACGACGCCAGGAGAACGGTCCCGGCATCTGCCGGGCCCTAGCTATGCCTGACAGCCAGGGACGGACGTAGCACAGCTCTCAAGGTTCCAAGAACTCGTTCCCATGCTCCGACGTGGGGACCGAACTTTGCTCCTTACCAGCCCCCGTCCACTCATACGTCTCTAACCCCGGCCTTTCAGCCGGAAGCTCATCGGATGTTTGGAATAAACTCTTGGTTCTGACCCAACAGCGGTTTGTTTGCTGGCCGTCACCAATTTCTTGGGACGGTCCGAACAGGGTGGATCTCCCAGAACAAGGTTGAGCTACTCCTTTGCAAGAACCCTTGGGCTCTCCCCAGTCGTTCATCCCTTAGCGGGTGAGGTCTGACAGGTTATCCACGGCTTCCTCCACATCGGCGACCTCAACTTCCTCAGCTTCCTTAGCGGCAACAGTCGGAACAGCAGTCTCCGCTGCGGCGGGAACAGCAATAGAGGCAGGGACAGGAGCCGCTTCTGCTGCAGCGGTAATCGTAGCAAAAGCTTGAATAACAGCTGAAGCTGAAGCAACAGCAGGAGAAGCAACGGCAGGAGCAGCAACGGCAGGAGTAGCAGCAGCCACGTCGGCTGCCGATGCAGAAGCAACACTGGCGGCACCAACAACAACATCTGGGTTTGCCGTAGCAATGCTGAATACAGCTTCCACATCGGCCGAGGAAACAGACTCGGCGAGATTGCCAACTCCGGGATCAGCCGTGGCGATCGTGAAGTCCGCTGCCGCCGTAGCAGTGGCTGGTTCCAGTAGCGGGTTCTCCGCCGTTGCAATGGTGAAAGCGGCTTCTTCCTGGCCACCAAAGCCGGAACCGGATGCGCCGGAGCCGACTCCTTGAGCACACGACTGCCGTTTGGAATGCTGTCCGCGGCGGAGCGTGGTTCGCTTCATCGTCTTCCTGGCATCGGCAATTTCTCGCTTGAAGAGGCCTAAATAATAGTATCAGTGAAGCGACTCGCTTGTGAGGGTAGAAGAAGTATACTAACCTAGGTTGAACCCCCCAAGCACTTTCCCCTTGTTGAACAGATTCTGGACACCTCCCAGATTCAGGAACCCAAGTTGCTGAAATTGTTGCAATTGAGCAAGCTGAAAGAATAAGTCCACGTCATTGTTGAAGCCAAAACCCAGAACGTTATTGCGGTTGAGTTGACCACCCAAACAGAAACCTCCAAGCATAGCCAAGATGGCCTCGACAATGGCATCTTGGTTGCCGAGATCAATATTGCCAAGATTCAGACCATTGACATTGAGATTATTGAGATCTAATTGTTGGTTCAGGCTATTGATGTCGAAATCGGGCGAGGTAAGACTGCTGCTAGAGTTGCTGAGGATACCAGTGGAGTTGTTGAGAACTTGGCCCGATGCCAGGCCAACTGAGAGGGCTAAGAGTGCGGTCTTCATGATGGGCGGTTTATGTCAAAGTCTGCCTGCAAACAGTGTTGGTAAAGAGCGGAAGGAGCACAGCTTCAAGATGTTAGCTCATACCTAACAAATCTCAAATCTAGACTATTTGGTGAGCATCTTACCTCGAGAAGATAAATTAAAAAAGAACGTAGGAGACGAATACCGAGCAGCACAGCATGAAAGAAACACCGACCAAACATTGAGGGCCAGCTAAGATGATATATACTCGGCTTGTTCATCTTGTTACATCAGATTAAGGCACATCCCACGGTTGGGACCGCTACCGGTTGCCGGTTGCAAGTGTTTGGAATGCTGTGATAAAGATGGGACGAAGAAACAAAATCCACCCATTAACCATAAATCTACCCACCTAAGATCCCGTCCCCTCACACAGTCGATGAAACGGGGGTTCGATATAAGCCGAGAACACCATCTTTGGTGTATGTATGTGCATGTCATGCGCGGTAGATCCTGAGGATGAGACTTGGGGGGCACGGCTGATAAAGACCAAGACACGGAACAGGAAATTTGAGGGAGCCTGATAGCCTCGGACTCTTGAGTCTGACCCTGACTACACACTGGCAGGAGATGTCTATAGCTGCCAGCTTTTGAAGCAGCACAGGCCATTCAGAGAAAAGCAAATTGACAAATGCTCACATTGACAACACCGGTGGGTTTTATATGGGAAGCAAACACCACATCTGAATCAAAGAACACCATATATACATCCTCATTTCCTCTCCCCTTCAACAAATTCCAGGGCGTGTAGTCTAGTGGTAGGATTTCTCATTCGCACATAGGTACTCTGTATGATCACAGCAGGCTTAACACAATCCCTACCCCTAGATAGGACGGGAAAAGTCTGACTCGTGGTTGTGCGAGGTACTCCCAATGAGAGGGTCCCGGGTTCAAACCCCGGTGCGTCCATTTTTGATCTCTCTCTTCATTCACTCTTTAAAACTCTCTTTTTTTGACTTTGTCCCTTCATAACTGTTTGGTGGTAAAAGTGCAAGCACCCGTTTGCCTCCCCCACTAGGTAGGTAACCACGTCAGCTCAGCAAGCAAACAGAAATGTCTCATCACACTTTATATACCTCCTCAAATCCCCTCTTCTCCAACAAAAACCCTTCAGGGCGTATGGTCTAGTGGTTACGATTTTCTCAAGAGGTCATGACTTTAGCAAAGACGAAGCGTTAACCCTTCCGCAAGCCATTGCTTGACGAGAATGAGGTGAAGCACTCTTTCAAAGACCCGTACCTTGGAATCAGCTCCTTCGCGGGAGCCTCCCTGGTCGGAAGTCAGTCCCATGGTTTACCAGCAACCCTCCCCCCTCCGTGGGAAAGTGTGGGTAATGCTGGTTTGTCGACTTCAGACAAGCCAAGTGTGATGACTTTGATCGTCTTGAGAGACCTAGGTTCGAATCCTAGTGCGTCCATTCACATTTTTGCTCTTCTTTCAGTTTTGTTGCTTGAGATTGAGACGATTGTTCTCTGTGTGGATGAAAACTGTCAACCGCTAGAAATTACACCTGCCAGGTAATAGACACGGCCTCGCGGTGTCCGCATCCGCGAGTGAAGTCAACAACCTTGGAAACAGCAAGCATGGATGTTGGTGAAAATATTGCTGAATTCTTACGATGACTGCCTTTGTATTGCTCTCCTTTTATTTTGAACCAGAACATCCTCACCGGCCTCTCGTTTGCTTTTGCTCCTCCTCAAGGCAGTTCAAATCCTCACAGATAATCTCCCCTGCCAAGCACCCACACCCGTATCACTCCCATATGCCTAGACATCAACAATCCCTCTCACCACCAACCACTCAAACCAAAAACAACAAAACTTCAAAAGTTAATGGACGCACCGGGGTTCGAACCCGGGACCTTCACATGTTGTAGCAATGTTACCTTGGAACTTCCTCGCAACCCTTCCCCTTCAACCTATCCTACACACCACCGCAAGAGCAATGAGAGAAAGATAGAGAAATCGAGAGAGAGACATGAGAGCAAGTTTGAACGCAAAGCAAATTAATTGCAAATGTGACGTCGTAAACCACTTGACCATACGCCCTGGAATTTGTTGAAAAGCAAGTGCGGGATTGGACATTATATCCTGCTTGCTGCTGCTGCTGCTGCTGGGGAAAGAGGGAAGGAACGATGTTTGTGTTTGGGCGGTTAGTTGCGGGATAGTGAACGGGAACGGGTATGATAGGCTGAGGGTAGGTAGGTTGTTTGCTCTTCAATATAGGTACCTAACTGGGGTCTCGAAGCTCAAGTGGTGTTATCTTGCCGTCTAGGTAGGTGGCTACATCGCAGTTGGGCGAATGCTGAAAGCTCAATAGGTGTTCAACAAGACTTCCTATCGTTCACGACGAACCTCATATCATGTAACAGTCTTCGCTTCAAGAAAAGGAGCAGTGGTATATTGATAAAGAGAAAATGATGGTCGACCGAGCAGTCTTCTCCAGACTGCTGTTTACACCAGTAAGAGACTGAAGAATAATAGACGTGACCTTACTCTGCAGAAGAAAAACACAATATACAGTCTCCCATCCAACGTGTGTGGACAATGTCACGGTAACATTCTACCTAGATGCTGACACGAAAGAGATCAGGTACCTTATCACAAGAACCTCGCTCTTCCCCCCGTGAACACTTGACCCCATCCCAGATCGTCATGACAGCTTTGTTCATGTAAATACTGCCCCAGCCGGAACCAACAAAGGTAGGTATGGTGCAGAGAGCATGTTTCGAGTCACAGAGCAACCAGGCACTAAACGCAATGAGCACTCATGTCATAGAAGGGCGGTAAATATAGATAAATAGTGATAATTTGGCGATTGTCTTTAGTCCTTTCCTGTTAATATGTTCCCTGTCTAATTTTGTGGCCAGGTAGCCTTTGAATCTGTCCAGCTACCACCGCTCTCCCCTAGAATCCCCCTCTGCTTTGCTCTCCAGGCAATATATCTCCCTTCCCCCAAAGCCTCTTGTTGCTGGCCCTGATCTCTTTATGCTGCGTCTGCTATTCTTCGCCTCCAGAAACCCTCTCAGATCTTCGCCTCCTCTCTTCTACAATCCCTCCCTCATTCTCTGGACAACATCACGTATAAGCATCTCGGCAGGAAGCGCAGGTCGTTCATATCTTGTCTTGCTTGCCATTGGAAAAAAAAAAGTGTAAAAGATAGAAGCGTCCAAATATTTGCATCTGCCATACCGTACCAGAGCCATCGCGTTTGCTTCCCATTCCCCTACACCCTCCCCTATCCCCAAACATAATAACCATCATGCCAATGAAAATAGAAACCTCCAGCAATAATAAAACCAATACAACCCTGTATTGCCCTTCTCCTCTGACTCTACACCAAATAACACGCCCTGATGCCGAAGAAAAAGAGAATAACAGCATTCATTATCTCTCATGCGCCCTCCTCGCCCTCTTCTTCCCAACACAAAGTCGATCAACCCATTAGCAGCAGCCACCACCCTTGTCAGCTCCCGTCTGCCCACCAACATTAACTCCCGTCGATGCACCGGCGCCCCCTTGCTCTGTCTTGCTGGTATCGATAATCCTCTTCTTGATATCCGCCGCCAGGCTGAAAAAAGCCTTCTCGATGTTCTCGTTCGTCTTGGCCGACACTTCCAAAAACGGGATACCCAACTCATCCGCGAGCGCCTGGCCCCGTTCAGTTGACACCACCCGCTTCTCTTCCCAGTCGCACTTGTTGCCGATCAGGATCTTGTTGACGCCCTCGGTGGCGTGTTGCTCGACGTTGGCGAACCAGGTGCGAATATCTACCTGTGTCAGTTTGCTGTTTCAGTGTGAAGAAATAGGGGGAACATACTGTTGAACGACCTTTCATCCGTCACATCATAGACCAGCAAAATACCCATCGCGCCTCTGTAGTACGCCGTCGTGATCGTCCTGAATCTCTCCTGGCCCGCAGTATCCCAAATCTGGAGCTTCACGCGCTTGCCATCGAGTTCGATTGTCCGGATCTTGAAGTCGATACCGATGGTGGTGATGAATGAGGGTGTGAACGAGTCCTCCGAGAAGCGGAGAAGGCAGCAGGACTTGCCTACGCCAGAGTCTCCGATCAGCAGGAGCTTGATCTGGATGGCAGAGAAAATATATGTCAGTATTCTGGTATAGAGGTATCGCGCGCAAAGGTTGGACCGGAGTGGCCGGGATGCCTGAGGTTGCATCGTGGGGATGTAAGTGAATAGGGGGTGCCTACCAAGAAGTCGTAATTTCTGTTACTCGACATGGTGGGCGGTGATGGTCTGTCTCTGTGGGTAGATTCGGGACGTCGGGGAATGTGTCTCGAGTTTGGTTTGATGGTCTCGCTCAAGGAAAGTGGAAGGTTGTAGGCTTGGGCTGGCTTGTGACAGGCAGGGGTTCTTATGCGCACAGTCGAGGAAGCTTCTCAGATTAGGTTTGTGTGGTGTATCGAGGTGGCCGAACTGTGGTAAAAGGAGTGACGCGGTCAGCAACGTTGGGATTTTGATGTATTCTGGTCGAGATGACGACGGAGCGGCACGGCGGCGGCAGCTGTTTGCTTTATGACAAAGTCGGGGGTCCCACGCTGAATCAGGGAACTAATGGGAGCAAAGGCAGGGACGGGGTCCTTGTCGTCGCAAATTGTGTAAAGTCGGTGAGGGCGGGCAGGAAGGACGATGGCTTGAACTTACGAGCAGAGCGAACAGACACAAGGCAACGGCAGGCAAAGAAGGTTCAAGTACCTGGCTACTTCCCCGGAATCCTGGAAACTGTTGTCTAAGGGACTGCGTAATCAAAGCGTCGAGTTCTAGGTTGCAACCGTACCGGCGGAGACGAATTTGGCGTCGTCGGGCGTGTCGGAATGGTGGTCACGACAAACTAGACTCGGTGGTAAAAGATGGCGACAAAGAGCAATCGCTGACGTCCTTCGCAAATTGTCCTGGAGGTGAGCCTCAACACGCAACTGGAGGCTTGGGAGGTCATGTAGAGAGAGGGACAGCCACAGGTCGCCAGGGGTCTTGGCAGCAGCAACCACAAAGCCTGGCTGTGCCTTACAAACGAAACGACGTTCGGGCCCAAGCGTCTTTACCAAGCATTCTATATAATCCAACTTACTACTAAATTTATATAATAACTAAAATACCTATTAATATTAACTAAAACTAATATACCTACGATATCCTACTACTTCGAAAACCGTAATATATTTGTAGTATTTTAATTCTATAATATTAATTTATATTAAAATATGTAAAAAAGCTTAATTATTAATATTATTATAAAATAATGTAAATAACGAAGAAATTAAAGAGGTAATAAACTTCGGTCTTCGTTAAATTTAATAATATTATAAAACCTTTAGATCTTTAAAAAGTTTTTTTCCTCTTTTATACTTTCGATATAATACTTTGTTAAAATATAGCTTTTGTTTGTGGATTTTACAGTGTATCTGAGCCCTGTAGAATACAGGGCCTCAGAGGCAATACAATGGCTTGGAATCACATGCTCACCAATGCTCTACCGTGGCGATCATATAAGCTTTCAGACCTCCGAACGGACCTCTGATTTATGTGACGAACCCCTGTACAGAACCTCTGAAAGGGATACTCGGTTGAAGGCAAACTTCTGATAATTGGTTCGGTGCAGCTAAATAGTGTATAACAAGATGTCTTAATGTAAACACAAGATACTGTAAATATAAGCTGTGATTATATACTACGGAATTATCTATAAGCTGTTTAGTTCCTCCGTATATATAGATCTAATGTTAAGACCTGGATTATTCTATTGCTCCTCGGATCATGACTGATTCTTAAGGATTATAAGTGATTCCCAGGAATCACTTATGATTCCTTCACGTCCTAGATAATCCACCTCTTATTAGTCTATCCTTCTTTCCTCTGATTAACTACTATACCTCCTCTTTCCTATTGGTTATTCCTTTCGGGTATTTATATTATATTTATAATATAATGCCCCCCCTCTTAGGTCGACGCCTCAGCGACCCTATTTAAAACCTTTTACTAATAACTAACCTTATCTATTATAAGTCCTCCTCTTTATCTTTCTCTACCGCTACGATATTTAACTGCGTAAGTAAATCTAAACGCTTACCGATGTTAACCCGTCTCGATCTCGCGACGAGAATTCTACGTCATCCTTTCGAAATACCCACTCTTTATTCCGCTTACGCTACCTATAACCTTTCTTATATCGTATCGCTTACCGAATCCTCTCGTTACCTTAAGTACGTTCGTTACGGTCTTCTTTACTGCGACGTCCTCGGGATTACCCCTCGCTAATTATCTTATATTATTTTATAATACGACGTTATAAAGGCGGAGTTCGAGTTAGCAGAAACGTAAGCTAAGGCTATTGCTGAAAATACCCGTTATATTCGAGAATAGATTGAGGCTAAGACCGAAGCTGCAAACGAAAAGGT